TAATCTGACATTTGCCTGTTTTACTGGATTTTGAGAATGCTAAAAATACTAATACTGAATTCCAGCAAAAATTTATTTTACTGAATCCATTTCAGCAATTTTTTTTTTGCTGAAACTCAAAATTAAAATTTGGTGTGCATATACCCATTTGCATTGACTTTGTTGACAACATAGAGTTACTCCTTTCAACGCACCTTGCATTTGGTAGTCAAGTGCTGCCATCTGTGTGTAATAAATCTGTGTTCATTTTCTAAAAAAAAATTGGGTCTACTCCAGTATGTCTTGCACTGTAAATCCAGTACGCCATTTTAGTGGCAGAACGACGGCACGTCGTTAGAATAAAGGCTGGGACCATCCATTGTGTCAGCCATTTTAGGGAACCGGGTCCCCTGGATAAGGCCATTGTTTCGGCCATTTTGGCTGGAAGTCACCACGAAAAGCGGCCATTGAAATTGACCATCACCTGAGGCCTCCCGGTTGACCGGATCGACGGTCAGGTGGCCATTGAAGAGCAGTGGATTCACCACCACCCCGCATTACCAATAACCACCGTAGTTCATCAGCACCTGCATCCGTAAGTTACCACCTCCACCACAGCACCCTCCTGAAAAACCGTAAAGCTTGGTTTAGACTAGGCAAGACAAATCATCAACTCAGTTGAATTCAATTGGCTTGAAAACTTGAGCCTGGTTCAACTTTTTTCAATTCAAGTGAGTTGATCAAGTCAGTTGAATGGCATGGTTTACACGTTCAATACGCGTTCAATTCAGTTGAATTCAACTGACTTGATCATTTGACTTGCCCTGTCTAAACCCAGCTTAAGTCGCGCTGGTACTTTTTTTTTTTTTTTTTTTTTATGAAAACCGATATGCATGCAGAGTTAGGACATAAGACAAAACACGAAAATTGTTAAAATTGTAAAATTGGTAAACAAACACATACACAAACAAGTTAAAAACGTGATCACGTAGTAGTTTGTAGTGAGATTAAATGGGGAAATAAATAATACCCGATGTACGAAGTTCGATTTTCAAACCACAAATTAGTAGCTTTTCTATTAATAGAAGAAGATATTCTTCCTTGGGATTCACACCTTTTATTTGAATTCGTTCTACTACACAGAAAAAAAAAGTTGTTGAATATTACATCCAAACTGCAGCCCAGGTCAATTCATTGGTTGTGCTTTTTGCTATTACATCATTATTTCATACATCAGATTGAATTACATTGATCGATATTACATTTTTTTTGCTCTACGTTGAAAACTTCATACAAAGCTTTCTTAATTCTTGCCGTGGTTTGAAAAGGTAAGGGCGGTGTAATTAGAAGGTTTGACCCTGGCCGATGAACCCTTAAATGTTCATCCAGTTCTTGATGGTTCTTCTTTATGCTGCGATTACAGTGTCAAACATCGGGTAAAGCATAAAACTACCCTGGGAGCGTTCCCTTCCACATTTGGACTAAGGGAAGTAAAAAAGGAGTAACAGCGTTCCAGATAATTGCAAGGTAAACCCACACGGTGTTTCGCGAAAACCCATTAATGGGTATAAAAACACCCATTTCCGCTAAAAGTGCCCCTCCTCATTTAATGGGTAAACTCTGGTTTACTCATTAATGGGTAAATGGAGGATCTGTCAATAAATGGGTATTTTTTACCCATCTTCTTAAATTGTGTTTTTCGTAAAATGGGTAAAAAAAAGTGCTTGCACGCCTAGAAACGACAGCAAATGTAGGTTTGGCACACAAGCGGCAGAGTTTTTGGGATTCACTTTGGCTCCTGAAGGATGGCTGATCAATGAAGAAAAGGTGGCAGTAATTAAAAATTTTCGAAAGCCTACTCCGTGCTCCGAAGTAAAGAGCTTCTTAGGGTTGATTACCTTCATCGAAAAGTTCGTTCCTCATCGTGTCACGAAAACGGAATACCTTTGGAGTTTGGCCTCTTCTGATTCTTTTTATTGGACTGATGACGAAGAAATGGAATTTAACTACTTCAAAGGAGAAGCACTTACTTCAATCAAACGGCTAGGATACTTCAACGCGGATGATCGGACTGAACTATTTGTAGACGCATCTCCAATAGGATTAGGTGCTATCTTGACCCAATTCAACGCTGAAGGAATACCAAGAATAATCGCAGGCGCATCTAAGGTACTCACCACACCCTGAATACAACAATACCCATTTCTTCAAATGGAGGCTGCTGGTGCTGGGTTATTTGTCCTCGTTGATATAAAAAAACTTTCTAATATTTACATTGAAAATAAATGCAGATGTAGCGAAAAACATTATTACACGAGATATTATAAAACCATATTGGATAAAACTGTATAGACTTAAACGTAAGTCTCTCCAATGTTTCGGAATCTAACCTTTTCCGGAGATCGTCCATTTTTGCTAAAAAAAAAAAAAGCGAACAGAAACTGTTTGCATTCCCAATGGTCGGTGACGGAATGAGACGATAAAATTTCCAAGTGTTTTTTCACCCATTTGTTTGGTTAAAAATATACCCATTATGCAATCGTGAACTGATTCTTTAAATGGGTATTTTTTCACCCATTGGGTTTTCACGAAACACCGTGCAGTCTACGAAATTTGTGTGTGCCTATAAGATGTTAATTGTGTCGTTTGCACGGTCAACGACTTTCCGCGTGTTCGTTTTCTTTAGTGCTCAACAGCCAACAAAGCGACCACTCATCAATAGCGCTGCCTCAATTGGCCTCGCACCGCGGCTTTGTTTCTGGTCGCCAATCCTGGCCACGCTCGGGTATCAAAGCTTCCATTGCCTATTGGAAGGGTGTTGCCTGCGTTACCAAGGCATTCCGGCTAACGTCCAGCAAGCCACCATCCGCTGACTGAGTTCGGCAACCCGTCACCAAAACCGGTTCACGGCACCACGTGAAAGTACAAGCGCAGTAGGAGGACACCAGCCGTCGTTGCAACGACAGCATAAGCCGGGCACAAGCCTCACTAACGTAAGCTTCAAGTACAGTAAGTAGCGAACCCACACTTGCATACAAGGCCGTTAGCACGGACACACAATGATAGCGCGCTAGCCGAATAGTCGACCGCACTAGTCAGTTAGAGGGGAACAGATTAGCCGGCCAAGATCAAGTTTGTAAATATGTTAATAAAAACACTATAGATAAAATGAAACTGAGTAGATGTAGAAATTCAACTCACAAAGTAAATTAGTGTTAGTAAGTTTTGATTGTGAGAGTCTGAAGGTTGTTTCACGTTTCGTTCGTCATGTTTAGTATTTTTGTTGTTGAATTGGTTGTGGTTGTCTTCTAAATCAAGCTCGAATTGATGGGTCAGAAGGATTGCTTTCTGTGATGCTAGGGTAGAGCACTACTTCGTCGTAATCGCCCATTTCCGTTCTATCGATCAGAAAACATCAAAAACATCAATGATTTCACTGTACACAAATCAATAATAGGTTTGTTCCTATGCGTTATTTCATTAGCTACAACATTAATCCTGTTAGAGCGCATTGTGTGAATATTTACACTCATTGTTCTCAAACAAAAGAAGTGCTCATAGTCTACTAGTACTAGTACTCTTGGTCTTGTTCCCGACACAGTTGACGAATTTTAGAACTAGCTCATTTGGCCAGTATCTAGCCTGGCATCGTGAAACACGACAGGTGGTCCTCTTCGGAGGTGGTGCTTAAGCCATCCGTTTATTTAACCGATTGGGAACAAACAACAGTGACGTAGCTGCCTCGAGGCCGCTACATATTGGCGCTATTATAACATACACCAAGTGCCCCACGCATACCTACAAGCTCATAGCCTGTATGTTTAAAAATGTCACTGTAGTAGTAAAAGCACCTATGTTTGGTTATGTAGGTAAATATGCATCATTGGAAGTGTTTCAACGTTTTTCAAGAGATTGTTACACTTACGACTATAAAAGGTGAGATTGAGCCTATCATTTTTGTATTTATGCAGAGATGCAGGATTGTCTAACGGATACACTACTCGTGTAAATTAATATAATGACACTTGAAAAAACTTGGTTCTCCAAATTTGAAGGATCGTTGATATTATAGGGAAAGTGTGCCAGATTTTGGCCCTAGAGGACCTCTAATTAACCCTATCTGAAATTTCACAATTTAATTTTTTTTAAACTTCAAACAGCGAGATTTAAAGTTAGAAAATATAAGGTAATGGACGGCTTCGGCAACCAAAATTTAAATGTTAATTTTCCCATCAAACACTTCACTGAATGCATTCAAACAATTTCGTAGTGATAACGAATAAGAGAGGAGTGGACTAGCTGATTTTCAGTCAAACGAACTGCCAGAGTCAATCGAGCAGCGAATTGGCAGTGTTAATAGAAACCACCTAGGCATAAGATGCCACGGCAGCGTGTTTTGAATTCACTCCTGTCCTATCCTTAACTCTCTCTGGTTTCTGTTTATCCATGACGATTAAATTCAATTGTTCTACCGATTGAATATCTGTGAACTTATTATTATCTTGATTCCACGATACATTTTGACGTCTTTATAAAGGACGCCATACTGTACGGAAAATCGGTCATTTTTGAGTCATGCCATGGAGAAAAAATATTTACCAACTGTGATGAATAGTTGTAGTGATAGTGAGATGAACATTTTTAATTTAAAATATAATATGTTTGATGTATGTGAAGGATGAAGTTTGTGCTAATAAGTAGTAGAAGAAGGAAGACAAGACTATATTAATATGACTATGCTATTAATACTGGCTGACTGATCCTCCAGACGAAAAAACAATCATTCACCCAAAATGTTAGATGAAGAATCATTCCAATAACCAATTATCATTGCAAATAAACTTTAGCCTTGTTGTTTCGGATAGTTTGAATGAAAAATATGTACATTTAATTCAATGGAATGTAAATTTGCATGCTACTTTATTGATTGCTTCATATCGTACGGAATGTGAAAATCACGATTTTTGTCGGTGCTCATTCCATGAAATAATAAAAATAAAAAAGTATTGTAAATATTTCGATATCTATGAGTATAAAATCTGTGCACAACTTGTGCTTTTACATGGCAGTTCTAACGTCTAAAAATGCCTAACGGTTTAAAAATCCATGCAAGTGTGTCTAGAGTATGTGTTTTCCATTTTTATGCGGTGGTTCTATCTGCTTTGCAAGTTCAGCTACTACATCTTTGAATATTGGAGGATCAAGATTTCCCCCCAACATGTATATTATCCACCAATCACCTAAGTCAGTTTTCTGAGAAATCGCTTCAGCTGCTTCGCGAGGCACCATTCGATTGATTGTATTCAACAAGCGGACACGAAATGACGGCATGAATATAATCATAGCTCTGAAATTAATGGAAAATATGCATAATGGAAGAAAATAAGTGTAAGAAAATAATAAATGGTTAAATCATTGTATTACCTGTATATCATCAAACCAGACAGCATTGCGGCTAATATAATGAACCAAAACCATATAAATATATATGTTTTTTCATTGACAATGTTCAGAGGAAGGATACACAATGAGTCATGCTTTTGTATTGTGCCTGATGCTCCGAACTTGTAAAAAATACATTTCGTCACTCGGGGAAAAACATATACCATTGGATCCACACGTTGTTCCTGCGACTGTTCTGAAAACTTCATCACCTTCCATCCGTAGGAATAAAATTCACCATCGAAGAAACTATTCATCATCCATAGTTGCAAAAGGATGTTGATCAAACAGAGTGCTTCACATGCAAAATACCGCAGTACGTATAGCTTATGGCGCTAGAAATAAAAACAATG